ATAGTGTCTAGTATTGTAGATGGGGCAAAATAAACACGCTCCTGTGTACACATTGGCGTGCACATAAAAAAGAATCCTTCACAGTTGAAATTCGATGTAGAAATGCCACGGTCCATTGAAAATTTCTGTCATATCACTCTGCATACCGTATACCTATCTTCAATAGCCCGATTGGTTCGGAAAAGTAGGAAAATGAAATGAAAAGGGGTTTAACGTCCAACTGTTCTGCTCTGGGAGCCACAGTGGCTAAGTGAGTAAGACGTTGGCTCGCTAGCCGTCATATTACTCAGCATAGCTTATGCATATCTTCAATAGTCTGATTGGTTCGGAAAAGTGGGAAAATGAAATAAAATAAAATGGGGTTTAACGTCCAACTGTTCTGCTCCGGGAGCCACAGTGGCTAAGTGAGTAAGACACCGGTTCGCTAGCCGGCGTGGTTTCCCCTTGTCAGGGGATAACGTATAGTCTTTTAGACGGGACGAAAAATCGAGGTTCCGTGTACATATAAGCGAGCACGTAAAAGACGCCCCTGACAGTTGGAATTCAATATAAGTCGTACAGTACACTGTATAGCGTATGTCCGTCTTCATTAGCCTAGTCAGAGCAGAACAGTAAGACGTTAAACACAATTTCATTTCATTCAATTTTCCTACTTTTCTGCACCAATCGGGCTATTGAAGATAGGCATACGCTACGCGGAGTGCTATGGCGGATATATTCAATGGACTGTGGCATTTCTTCATCGAAATTCAACTGTGAAGGATTCTTTTATGTGCACGCCAATAAGTACACAGGAGCGTGTTTTTTGTCCCATCTACACAACTAGACACTGTACTTTGCTAGACCCTTTGTCCTGCACTACAGATAGGGGGAAATCACGCTGCAAAATCCCGGGGAACTTTCTTGACCAACACCAGGATCAGTTTATAATCATACTATGGCCGATAACCCGACACCACGACAACCCGACATCCCGACACCACGACAACCCGACATTTTAACTCGACAATACGACATTTTTACGCGACAATACGACATTTTCAATGTCGTGGTGTCGGGTAAAAATGTCGTAGTGTCGGGTTACAAATGTCGTGATGTCGGGTTGTCGTGGTGTCGGGTTAAAATGTCGTGATGTCGGGTTGTCGCCTTATAAAGGGCGACATCACGACATCACGACATGATACTAATCAGCCACCATAGATACGCTGGGTATTAAAGGGTTAAGGAATAACTGAGATTTTGTTTTTCATCTGGTATACTGGATGATAAATCACGCAAATTATAAAATTCCAAACACGCAATTTCTAACATAACATCACCACTGTCACATTCAAAATAGATAATATAATACAACTGGTACTATGTGAATCATTAAAATAGCTATGGGAACAATATAAACAGCAAAAAGTTATTATTTCAATGTGGTCAACATTTTTGAATTTTAACGTGGGAAAATTCGCCTTTGCCATCGGATTTTTAATCACCAATGAATAATACAGTAAAATGTTACATTTATTTCAAATGAGATTGAATATTGATATGTTTAGCTGTGTGTGTGGCTTGTTTTAATTTATATAAATTAAAAGATTTGTAGGCCTGTACATTTGTGTATCCAATGGAATACACATTTTGCTCAAAGACTTTACGTAGTCTTCGAACACTACTGGGAATGGAGGCGGAGCTGGAATCTCAGCAGTGTAAACATTTCTAGTTCTTGTAGTGTACATGAGAGAATAAATCGTGAACGGTGGCTTGAAGATTTTTCTTTAGATTAGATTTCGTATCATTTGTTGCCTCAGGGATTAGAATTGTTTGCCAGAAAATGATGCTGAAAATACCCGCAGAGTGCGTTTTAGAGCGTCTAGTTTTCAAAAAATTTCGGGGGAGGACCCCCCCCCTCTTTACCAATAGTCGCCCGCGCAAAGACTGTCCCCACCACTTATTTTGGTCGATCTGCGCCCCTGTGAATGGTACTTCAAGATAGTACTAATTGCTTAAATAAAAGAACGAGAGCTGCTGATTTTAGAAGATGGCTTACCGAAGGACGAGGTTACTATATGTGCCAGGAACCGACCATAAATTGTGACGTCACGTACAAATTCGGAGTCGGTCCATCGATGTGCAATTGTCGAGTTCATCTGATAATTGGGAATTGGGAAGGCAATATAAGAGCTGGACTAACTCTATATACCTTTTTGCCGTTAAGCTTTATTGTTCTATTCTGTTTCCTGGTAACTTAATCCACCGTATTTATAAAATTTGATTATAATATGCAACATGGTAGTCATGCGAATAAAGCAATGAATTAAACATATCCATGACTTAAATAACTTCTATTTTTCCATTCTGTTTCCTGGTAAGCCAATCCACCATATTTATAACATTTGATTACCTATAAAACATGGTAGTCATGCAAATAAATCACATAAATAAATATCTATTCCTTTCATAAATTCCTTTTATTTGCGCCATTAGAAGTAAACACAATAAGGAAGTATTTTCATTTCCGGTTGGAGGCCCGCAGTGTGACGTTAAATCGTGTTTCGTTATTCGGGATTTAAAGATATATATATATATATATTTTCTTAGAAATTTCACATCATCGTTGCACATTTGTCAAGTAAACTGTGTTTTTCATTTAAATTAAATTAATTTAAATTTAAATTTAACGAAACACGTCCTGTAAAGTTATTCGTTATTTTAGCGCGAAAAAAGCCCAAAATGGCTTGTTTTATGGCACTATTTCCACCCATCCGCCTATTATTAGCCTGCTAGTAGTAGAAAGTGCTTTTTCACATAACCAAGTCAGGTTTGATGATGTTATGCTCCATTGATCGCTCAATAATACATAGAATATCAAAATCAACCATTCCTATGAGATATTTGGTTGTACAGGAATACATTAGAGGGCATATGGCTCTATTTCTTAGAACCTTGAAATAGACAAAAATGGTTCTAAAAGCACATATTAATGTAATGTGAATATATAAAGTGATTATTATTCGATTTTTGAAAAAATACTGTAATTTCTAATGAATTATGTTTGTTGAAATACGTGAACAGTTCAAACTGAACGACAGTCGTTTACGCTAGCTTAGTGCATTCTACACGTTTTTAAAATTATTATTTTGTCATTTGTGCATCAGTCTTTACTAATCACTTCCACGTTGTGTTGTAGGATATGTTTTTATTGGTTCATTCTAAAATGGTACCCGAAACCATATGGTACACAACTCGTGTACTGATTATAAAATGTGTCTTAAATATTGGATATTAGGACTCTATAATATGACGGCAAGATAACAAGATCAATATGGATTGAAATTGATCAATATTGAATTCTAATTCGTGTTTTTAATTTCGAATATTATGGAGTTAGAGACATAGCCCAATTAATCATAAAATCCAAAGATTAAACACAATTACACAAAAGCACTGAAATTCCCAGAGATACAAGGGGCGGTAATCATGAGTGCTTCGCCCTCATACTACAGGCAAAAACAAAACATGAAAGATGGGCTGTAAGGCAACGAGACACACGCCCTGTCGTCTTTCGACTCCCTTACAATTTCGATAATAACATTCCCCCCGTATATTGTTATGTACATTTTGTGAAATATATCTACAAACAATACGCGATAAATCCAACGGTAAATAATCCAGATTGTTGAAAAACAGAACAAACGAGCCACGCCGACCTCGATTTGTCGTAACATACAAACAATAAGCTTGGCAGTCATGTATTTGGAATTCTTCATCTTCGGATTCATCCGACTGGTCACTAACATCACTGTTGTCTGCATTTAATTGTTCATGAAAATCTTTCTAAATGAGAAAAAGAGCGCAATTTCTCGGGGTTTACCTATACATGGGCTTAGTTCAGATGTGCAACATCTGTTGCTATTGGCAACAAAAATTTCGCCATGTTCCTATTTCAGATGTTATGTCCCGTTCTCGATTTCAAACCCTCATGACAAATTTACATTTTGTAGACAATGATAATGTCACTGATAATGTCACTGATGTCTGCAAGAAAGCGAACTCATGATCGCCCATCAGTTGCCCCGCTACCAGAATTATAACGTCGTAGACAACCCAATCCACTTCCTTGCAACAGCACTGGAAGAAATGGTTTAGACACTGTCCAGTATGGGAGTCATCACGTCTCAGATGTGTTTTATGCAAGGGTTCGGCCATGTTCTCCTGTATAAGATGTTTTAAATGTAAAGTTACCCTTTGTCTAAACAAAGACCGAAACTGTTTCAGACAGTTTCATTGTTAAACCTACTTCAGACCACAAACAATAAAATGGATTTTTTGTCAAAATTTGACTTTGTGGGGTGTTTTTATGTTATTGTGATGTTTCTTTATGTTATGCATTTGTTTTAAAATGATCAAATATTGAAATGAAATAAAATAATATTTGATAAATTCACAGTTAATTCAAATAAATATGATCAAATATTGAAATGAAATAAAATAATATTTGATAAATTCACAGTTAATTCAAATAAATATTGTTTCAATACGATTTCGTATAATGGTTTAGAATTATTATTATTTTTTTTCTTGTGATTAGCCCACTGTATCATATATAATACACATTGAAAATCAAGGTCAAGATCGTCCGACCCTAAAAAATTTTATTGCATGCAAACCTCCAACAACCCAAACTATCATAATTTTCCAAAGCTCGGTTCATGGCGTGGGCATTACAGGGTTTTAATGTCACGTGTTCAAAAGTACGAGGAAACCATCGTTGAAAGAAAACAATATGATCTGTAACTGTGGTGAACATGGTAGTCTGTCTGGGTATGGTAGGTTTCTATTGGACGAAAGTTAACTGTTTGAAAAGGTGAGGCGGGTCTAACCCATGCTCAAAAGTAGGCGGAAACCATCTTTGATGGGCATCGACATACTTTATATATATATATTGTAACTGTTGTGTAGCTGACAGGATTTTATAGGACGAATGAGAAATTGTTCAATAAAAGGGCGGGTCTTACATACTGTGTTTGGTATTTATGTTGTATATCATCCGTTGGTGTTCTGCATATCGTTTACAGATGTCTTTATCAATCATGAAGGCTTTGATGGTCACCGTTTTGGTTCTTGCAGGTAATTATAGCGATATTTGTATCATTAAACAGCTGTGAGACATACTGTCTCGGTACCATGTGTCTGCGGTCCAAGGTGCAATCTCGGTGTTACAATTCCTCTGGATTTTCCTTTTCTCCTTGTAAGTGGTGTAGGATGGGGCGCTAGTCTTTACAGGGTTGGTGTGCCATTAAAAGGACGATTGGCAGGTGAGATTCGACGAAGTATAAACGGAAACGCCATAGTTCATAATTATTCAATATATAGTGATAATTTTACTAAATTTAAACGTTTTTAGTCTGTTATAATGAAGACATTAGTGTTATATTATTTAACACTACTCGTATGGATGACAATATGGTGGTCATGTTGAGATTTAAAGCTGTAGTCCATAGTGGATGTATGTAGAAAATACGCTTAAATAAAATTGAACTATTGTTTGTTTTATAGTTACGTGGGTTACCATCCGGTCAGTTCCCGATTCTATCCCAGTTAAATTTCATTTCTAGGAGTTAAAAACTCCTGGTATTTTGTTTTGTCATGTTTTCGTTATTTAGCACTCCATTGTATAGGTCTACATTGATCGGAGTCTTAAATGATTACCTTTCCAGTTCCGGGGAGTCGCCGTGGCTCGCTGACCACGATGTCAGTCATGCTAAGATGGTAGTCAGATCAACTACCGATTCTGTTCCAGGTAAATTTGCTTTCTAGAGGCTAAAGGCTCCAGGTTTATTGTTTTGTCATATTTTCGTTATGAAGCATTCCATTGCATAGGTCTACACTGATCACCAGTCTTAACTGGTTACCTTTCCAATTTCGAGGAGTTGCCGTGGTTGGCTGACCACGAGGTCAGTCATGCTGAGGTGGTAGTCATGCTGAGATGGTAGTCATGCTGATATTTAAAACTGTAGTCCATAATGCATGTATGTAAAAAAAAAATATGTATGTTTCTTTTATAGTTACGAATGGTACAACCCAATCAACTACCGAATCTGTCCCAGGTAAATCTGCTTTCTACAGGCTAAAAGCTCTTGGTTTATTGTTTTGTCATATTTTCGTTATAAACATCCCACAACATAGGTCTACACTGATCTGGAGTCTTAACTGGTGCACGATGTTAGCCGACAAAGTCCGCCTGGTTTGTTTCTTCGGTGCGGTTTCTCCTCATCAGTGGTGCGGGACGGTAGGCCTGGCAAGGATAATGCCCAGTCGTTCGGATGGGACAAAAAACAAGGTCCCGTGTACACATTGGGATTGGGATTCGAAATAAGAGTAGGACGCAGTGCCACTGTCCATGCAAAATTTTCCTCATACGGAAACTGAATAGAATCCGATTTTAGCAGAATAAACTGCAAGCTATTGTACGCTGTTTTCTCCTTCCACAGACGAAGGCACTAACATCACACAATACCGCTGACACTCTGATTACACACAATTTCTACATGACCGGGTACGTTTGTACAAAAAATATGTTTATTACAGCAATACGTATAAAAATTAGTTTGATCTTGAACATAGTCCCATTTAGCCATAATAACATCCATCCATTGTATACAAATTTCAGTTGCCGTAGTTGTGTGCGCTAAATAAGGTAATTAAAATGAAATTATTTTCTATTTAAAAGAATGTACACCAGGCGAAATCCGTCGTCACGCTGATTGCACAAAATATCTACGATGTTCCGGTGGTGTTTTGCGCTTGATAACTTGTCGAAGTGGACTCCAATTCAGTGTCTTGCGGAAACGTTGTATTACGCCTGAAATGGCCAACTGTACGCCGATCACCATACCTACAACTGAAACTACTGCCGAGGCCACTACCACTACACCCACGACTACTGCCGAGGCCACTACCACCACTTTCACGACTTCAACTACCAAAAGGACTCCTTTGAACACAGGTAAATATTTATATTGTTCTACGAATGTTCGTAACACGTGTACTGACACGGCATTTATCTTAGATGGAAAATCAGACAGCTCTTTGTTCAGTTTTCTTAATTCCTAAATCATAGTCCGTTATTCTTATTTCTTCATTTTTTTATCGTTTTTTTTTAAATATGTCGCTATTAATCTTTATATTAAAATACAATTAAATTAGATAAAAATACAATTAAATTAGATAAAAATACAATTAAATTAAGCAAAAATACAATTTACAAATCTTATATGACAAATGTCTAATTTATATTATTTTAAAATGCAAATGTCGAAATACGACATGAGGAAATAAGAATTAAGAACGATGAATTAAGATCTTATAATTAAGATAAAAACACGGAATAAAGAGCTGTTTGGTCCAGGGGCTAAGTGAGAGTGGGGGCCGGATCTTGTTCCTCATGCAAAATCATGGGTCACTACGTCCCTGGTTTGGTCTTCCATAATCTTATAGTCATGAGAGAGTGGAGGGGGTTTAAGGCAAATAAGGGGGTCATTTTGAGACGAACATGGCATATATTTAATTCAATAACTTGCTCGCTTCCAATGATCATATAAGTGGGGGAGGGGGAACCAGAATATCTGGAAGAAACCCGTGAGGTCGGGGAGGTGATACTACTTCATGTAACAAACACGCATGATATTGAACTTACAACTTGTATAGAAGCTTGTGCTCATATACGTTTGGGGTTTCAGAATATCTGGAAGGAACCCGTGAGGTTAGCGGAGGGGGGGGGGCTTCTCCATGTAACAAACACACACGGTATCGAACTCATGCCTTACATTGATAGCAGTCTCATTGGGCAACCCAATTCACAGATCTGCATGTAAGGCCAGCCTACGTACTAGACAGCTTGTGTTACAATCACAATGTCGCTAGTACTATAAAACTAATCAGGCAAAATTATTCTCCCTTGATCATAAGGCACACACACATATATATATTTATATATATTAATGACCAGGGCCCTGTTTCTCGAAATCTTAACTAAAGTTAAAATCCAAATTTTAGTAGATACTTCGATTTTGATTGGCTAAGCACTAAAACCAGTCTAATATTATCCAATCAAATTACTAAAATTTGGATTTGATCTTAGTTACAATTTCGTGGAACAGGCCCCAGGGTCCTGTTTCTCGAAGACTTAAATAAAGATAAGATTCAAATTCTAGTAGATACTTCAATTTTGATTGGCTAAGCGCTAAAATCAATCTAATATTATCCAATCAAATTACTAAAATTTGGATTTTATCTTAGTTAAAATTTCGTGAAACAGGCCTCTGGCAGGCATTTAATTCCACTATTGATAAACATGGGAGGGACCAGAAGAAAACCCACGAGGTTGGATAGGCGACCCTACGCCTTGTCACGTACAACCCGGGAATCGAAACCAGACCTTATGATACAACGCACACGCGCTAAGGTTGATAGAAACAACGGTGTCTGTGAGATTTTCAGCGTGATTTCACAAGTGATGCAAGATGAGAGTTTGACCAGAGAACAACGTCTAGTCGTGCGGATGGAACAAAAAACCGAGGTCACCTTGGCTTGCATGTTAACGCGCATTGTCAGCCGGAATTTGATGAATAGTAGACGCATGCCTGTTTTCGCCATCTAAGTTGGTGCAGAAAAATGGGATGATAAACCTCGTATCCCCTCAGTTGCGGCATGTCGATCCAAGTTCAGGCTCACAGTTGTCCACAGTTGCGGCATGTCGATCCAAGTTCACGCGCACAGTTGTCCCCAGTTGCGAGTGACGATGTCGGCTAGGCTTTACTTAAGACAACGCCCGATTTGGAACCCATAAGGCAAACGGTAGCAATCGTCTGATTTTACGTTCGTCAAGCCACAACTTTATTTTTTCTTTTTACAGAATGCAAAAATGGAGACCAGAAATAAAATAACTAACCACTAACTTTAAGACAACTATTTTGATTTTGCTCAGTCCCGCAATTCCAATTTAGAACATTTCTGTATACGAGAAAACCATAGACATAAACACACTTAAAGGGACTAAGAGCTCATAGGGACGAGTTAAACCTGAAAACAAAATTACAATAAAGCACTTTAGAGATACCAAGACTTTATTTCTTATTCAGCAAATTCCCTCCTTAAGAAGATTGGTGTGGCCAGGGTCGTATACTATGGACAGACGAGCGTATAATTTTGCCTGATCGTGGCGATTGAAATTCGCCAGCGATTTTTTACGGCCGAACACGACCAGGCACACGTAGTGATTGACTGAAGAGATGAGAATCTCAGTCTGTGCGTAAATTAATTACGTCGATCATTTGACTTGTACGAAATGGCAAATCGGCAGTGGGGGCAGCCATTTTGGATCATATGATGTCTCCGATTGACTTACAAGATTAGTTCGTTCGCTCAACAATATACGCTGGACACGGACAGGCGAGTGGGTTTGCCGGCGAATTGATCGCCAGCGTAAAACATTCGACCAAAAATATCTAACATGCTAGTTACAGGCGAATGGTTCGCCGAGCAGAATTGTCGTAGCCTTGAACAGGCACACAGGCGATTTTTTCGACCGATTTTAAAAATCGGCGCGATCGGGCGAAACAATACATTCGTCTATCCTAGACTGTAGTAGTGCTGATAAACAAATTAACCCAAGATTTTGTTTCCAAGTGTGCATTTGAAATTGTCGAAATCTATGATGATCTTCGGGTCAAGGCAGGTAATATGCACGAGTCGAATGCTGGATAACCAGACTTGTACCGGAGTTCGGATTTGCGTTACTAAAGAACATTTGATAAACTTTTCCATCTTAATGCGTAGGATGACTCCTTAGTGTACATTGCCATACCAAATTTAATGTTATTGCATCTGCGTTCTAGATAGATTGCAGCTCCACCCTCCCCCATTTTATGATATTTTAGGAGATGCTCAATTATAAGCTAGGTACGTACCACCATAACTTTACACACCATTTACAATTTTATTTCCAGTGTATTGCTTGTAATTTGAAAGGAATTGCTCTTTCTACTTAGGGGAGCCACAGTGGCTCAGTGAGTAAGACCCGTGTTCGATCCCTGCATTGGCTGAGAAAGTTCATCGGGATTTTCTGGCCTGGAGGGTAGTCGTTCGGACGTGACGGAAAACCGATGTCCCATGTACACATTGGCGTGCACGTAAAAGATCCTTCAGCTGTTGGAATTCGATATAGGTGTAGACCGTAGTGCCGCTGTATGGCGTATGCCCGTCTTCATTAGCCCAGTCGGAGCAGAATGATAAGACGTTAAACCCCATTTCTTTTTACTCTTCTACTCTTTTAATCACTTGCAGTGAAAAGTTTTTTTCGTCACCTTTTTAGAATTCTACCTTAAATAAATATTAAAGGCAAAAACGGGTCAATACCGGGCTTCCTAAATGGAAATTTATCAAATCAATACACAAAAGTAAAGATCTAATGGGCGCTTTAGAAAGAATAAATATAAAAACGTTTCGTGTTGTCGACGTGAATATCGACACTGTGGCCGAGATCACAGGAGGACGCGGTTTCGACGCCGAAAAGTTTCCAGATATTTTTAGTCCGAGGGCCTGACAAGGAACCAACGTGTCTAGTTGTTCGAATAGGACGCAAAGCCAAGGTCGTTGTTCGAGCAACATATCCCTAATAGCACATCATCGACTAATGTAGTAAGTTAAAGGGCTAATCCCGATAATTTTTTGGAGAATAAAACTGTTTAATTTTGTTTTAAAATCACTTAAAATCCTCTACCTGAGGGCCGAGCAACTAACTCGATATTTGTGATAAGTTTTCAAATAACTGAAACCCGTTAGTCTTCATCTGGTAATGGAGACCAATGTCCAAAGCCGTATTATGCGGTGTCTAGATAAAACCAGACATTTTTTGTATAAAAATAATGTGTAGGTGAAATTTGCCTTTCTTTATCAAGTACAGCATTTGGGTCATTCACTATATAGACCTCTCAATGAACGGGAATCGATTATCAGGTCTCCAAACGAAAAAATTGACCCGAAATCTTAAAAGGGTTACGTGTCCGGATAAGCAGTTTTGACGGTCACGTCTAAACGACTCAAAATTTTGAGCTGAAATTTTGAGATAAGGTCAATACACCATTCTGTATAGTTTGGCACTTAAATTTCATACATTATCATACTTTTATTTTTGAGACTGTTCAAATAAGGGATAGTCCACTTAAACCTAATTTAATTTCTTTGCCACCCAACAAAAATTCTGTAGGACGTTAAACACCATTGCATTTCATTTTGTTTAGTAAGTAATGCGGTATTTTATAATGATATCGACGACAATTAAACATACATTATGCAAGAGCTAAATCTGCCTATTGCAGGGGCCTGTTTCACAAAATTTTAACTAAGATAAAATCCAAATTTTAGTAATTTGATTGGATAATATTAGATTGATTTTAGTGCTTAGCCATTCAAAATTGAAGTATCTACAAAAATTTGGATTTTATCTTAAGTTAAAATTTCGTGAAACAGGGCCCAGGTCTTTCTTTAGGCCTGAAATGTTTTCTAAATCATTAATTAGACATTAATTAACTTATTCAGACTATCGCTGGCCTGTGCTATTTAGCGGATTGGAATACATTTTGTGAAGGATGATTAAAAGTAAATCTAGACTTATTGTACCTACTTTAGTAATGATGATCGAGACTAGTCTAGTCTAAAATTCAAAAGCTAATATCTCGGTCCAGAGTGGAGCAATTTGACTGACGTTTTCAGCATATTCTATTTTTTAACTATTACCGCGAGCACTGTCAACTCTTCATCTAATCTCCCATGTAGCACCACAGGACGTCTGTCAGCCGTGGAGAGCGGACAGCCATTAAAACCGGTCGTCACATCCGGCGTATAACCCATGCATTGTTTCTTACTACATACTTTTGAACAGCCGTTGATCGTCTAGTATTGTTTCTGGTCGCATATTAATACCTTAACTGGTTAGTGAGAGAAAGGAATACATTTTAAATATTTTGAAAAAAACAACCCCCCCCCCCCAAAAAAAAATATAAATTTTAAATCAAATTAAGTTTGACAGCTTGAAATTGTACCGCAAAGTTAACTTCAACAATATAAAGTATCAAAAAATTTAAATCTAATGCAACTTCTTGATTGGATATCAGTGATGGAGAGGTCTGTATCCATTTAAAAATCTAGTGTTGCCCCTAACTAGTGAGTACAGGTGACCACGCCAAACCAATAAGATCCCCCCCCCCACACACACACACACCAAAGAAGAGAAGGAAGATACACATTCATTGTACCGGAACCGAACCTTAATGACTGCGCACCTTGGTTATATTAGCGAGTCAGCGCCTTGCTCGCTAAGCAACCGCGACTGTCTTCATCAAAAGAACACCGTGAATATAAAACATATTTTATTTTCTCCTGTTCAGTGAAGAATACTGATGGCAAGACTACTAATAATAATATAGCGTTCATATTTTCGAGAAATTACATGTACACTAAATATCAACACATAATAAATAAAATACATATACAGACTTTGTATATAAAAAAAATGTAATGGCATATAAATATGCAATGAAGCATTAATGCCGCAATATAATGATTAAAATAGGAAAAGTCAAAATACGTACTGAGGCATATTATGATTAAAATAACAAAACAAAATACGTAATGAGGCATATTTTGATTAAAGTAACAAACGGTAATCCAAACTTTAAGTCGAACAGGAAATGTGACAAGTACTCTAGAACTTTCTGACCTCAGCTAGTTTTTGATAATATATGATATTGGCTTTTCAACTCTGTTATCTCTAAGATAGTGTGACAGTAATAACGTACGGAGTGGTAACTTGGTTAAGTTATCAATAAAATTATCCAGAGTCACGTCCTTGTCCCGCCTTGGGTTGAAGTGACCTTTATTCGTCACAATATCCCCTAACTCAATATCATTCACATTCTTCGACATTGCAAACACGACTTATTGGTTAACTAAAATCAACATTGATGTTGTTATCTTACTATGAAAAGATGGACTTCTGATATCCAAGACAAAATGAAAACTCTAAAATTGGCACACGAAACGCGAATCATAATGCTTTCGAATGACATTTGTAATGAAACGAATCGATGAACGAGGCTAATTTACTACACAGGAGAATACCACCGGTGTAGGCGCCAAAAACTGCTATTAAATTTGAATTCATCGCGTATTTTGTCGAATGTAACTGATTAGAAATTACAGTAAAACTGGAACGATTGAATGTAAATCAGTTTATATACATTTATAATACATTATTATATTCATTGCAACCCACTGGTGTCCATTTCTAGGTACCAAAGAATAGCGATTTAGCTAAGATATGATCGGAATTTTAAATAAAGTTCTGCTCTGCCAGTGATTGAAATCTGAACACACTTGCACATGGGCCCGATTTCTAGAAAATTCTTAAGCACGTTCTTGTGCTTAGATTTACTTGCATTTAAGTAAACTTACCTTATTTTGTGTTCTCAGAAAATTCTTAAGAACGTTCTTGTGCTTAGATTTTAAGTAGACTTCATTGTAAGCACAAGAACGTTATTATGCGTTCCAAGAAAAAACTTAAGCACAACTTCGTTCTTAAACATGGTCAATCTAAGCACAAGTCCCAAGCAAGGTATACGGCTTGCTTACCAACCTTAAGTCTGTTTCCACTTCAAAAAGATGACTGATCGTAGAGTTATTCGACGGCATTTCCGACACCTTTTATACCAAAGAGACAATTACAAGACAGAGATAATCCTTCTCCAGAAGAAATTATGAATACTATAGAAAATTTCGCTTCTAGGCCTACCCTGAAACCGTTTTATTTATTTGCCAATTAGTAAACAATAGGCTACAAACACACGGGCTACTTAAGATCAGGCGCTTACACAATTTTTCAGTTAGTTTGTATGTGTCTGCGGTTTTTTTTATCTTGTGGCACATTTTATATGTGTATAGGGGACATGTCAAATGCATCTAAATCAACCTAGGAATATATATTATGACGTCAATGAAGCAGACGACAAATTTATGACGTAATTCGCATACCAAAGTTGTTTTTGTGACGTTAAAGAGCA